GAAGGAACAAAATAAGTTATAACAGTGGTCACGCAGGTGAGATCGCGGACGCAGGCAAACCCAAGATCATAACCGGTGTTGACACAGGAACACACTAGGTAACAACAATAAGAGATGCAAATCCAATGTAGAGCGTAACGACACAATAATGGATGACCTCAATTTCACAGAATCGAATGTTAGAAAAGAACATTTTGCGCTTAATTAAACTATGTCCGTGGGTCCAGACCAAATACCAGCAAAAGTGTTGCAGGGGCTCGCTTCGGAACTCTCTAGACCATTTTCGCATATTTTCCAGTTCTCCTCTGACCGAGGACTTTTTACATCTGACAGAGAGTTTGCGAACATATACTCTATTCACAAGGGTTAATCCAGAACTAGCGCGAACGACAATCGACCAGTGAGCCTAACTTGCATTTGTTGCAAAGTTATGAAAAGGATTATCAAAAAGGCCACCGGGTAGTTTCTCGAAGAAAAAGACTTCTCCAACAGTGCTCAACATGGATTTTGAGGAAACCACTCCTACCAGACCAATATGCCTTATTCAATATAGCAGTGGTCTAGGTCAGTACACGAGAATACCAAAGTCGATGCCATCTACATCGACTTCAAAAAAGCCTTCGATAATGTCCTACACCAACGGCTACACTACAAGGTTGGTGAATCCGGGATAAGGGGGAATCTACTATATTGTCTAGGAAATTTCCTAATGGGCCGATCACAGTCCGTGTGCGTTGGTAACGCGAACTCCACTCCACAGCCTCAGGGCTCCGTCCATGGCCCATTATTGTTCTTAATCTACGTCAATGACTGTAGATTTGGATTGGACAGCACCGGAGTCCTCTTTGCAGATGATATTAAGATATGGCGACCTATCAGGAACAGCAATAACGAACATATTTTGGAAGAAGTACTTAGTCGTCCATTGGAACGGTCCAATAAATGGTTAATGCAGTTTAACTTTGAGAATTGTGTCACAGTGCGACTCAAAACGAAGAAAGCTAACGCGCTGGACGACTCGCACAAATACTCCATTGACGGCCGGTGCCTATCGAATGAAACCGAACAAAAGGACATAGGAAGCTCTCTTCGCACCGTGTTAGGATTGCCAAAAGGGTGACCAATGTTCTAATTGCCATTAAGAAAACTTTTGTCGATATCGATAAGAAATTGTTTGGGAAAATAAACAGAGCCTTTATTTGTTCACGTTTAGAATATGGAGTTCAGGCGTGGCGCCCATGATTGCAGAAGATCTCAAGTAACTGGAAAGGGTCCAAAGGAGGGCAACAAAAATCGTGAAGGGCCTAACGTCCCTATCTTAAGAATGCAGACATGAGACACCTAACCTTCTTCCTCTTGAGCACAGGCAGATCCGAAATGATTTCTTACAGACGTATAGGATTTTGAAGAGTCGGGACTGTACCCTGCAGTTTGATGACTTCTCCACATTCGCCACATCAACTGACTTGCTTCTGAAATCCCTCAATATCCGCAAAACCTCACCTAATCTTGATGTCCGCAGCCATTTTTTCCACAGTGAGTTATCGGTGACTGGAACGGACTGCCCGAGGAGGACATGATAGCGAAATCGAAAGACATTTATACGCAATGTTGATGTATGTATATTTACCCAACATCTACTGTTCATATGCACAAGAAAGCACCTTTAGAACACATCAACGCTTCGCTCACACTTACGGGTGAAATTAATGGCTGTTATTTGACAATTTAATGTACGGTTCACAGGATGATTATACATAAATTTTGCTGTTAAAATTGTGTACAGGTATATATTTCACTCACTATTTTAAAGTGACATATTTATTTCATGTACCTTAGGTTGAATGTATTTGCATCCCATTTTCAATGGTTTCTGCAAAGGAATTGTCTTTTACCCAAAATTAACTGAAATCTGCTGAACTACGTACAGGTGGTCTGAGCTGGCAACTTTTCCCTACCTTTGCCGTAGAAGACCAGGTTGATTGAGAGTAATGCCCGAAGCCCAGGACAATTCAATTCCTTTCTCCTTAGTCCCTTAATCGAAGTCTTGAAGGTAGAGGCCGAGTGAGCGTTTACCAAAAGAGGAACTGATCTGGACAACATACGAATTTTATCAGTTTCGTTCGTATAAGGCAGAAGGGAAATCTAGTCCATTGCCTGGAGCAAAGAGCTATAAAATTTGCTCGGTCGACACTATCTACGAGAAGCTTAGGAAAATTCAGGTCAGGCTTTGTGGGGACGGGTATTCTGAGAGATAGATTACAAAGGATATGTCTGCGGGACAAGTAAATACCGCCACACTTCCTCTGGGAAAGTACATACTATTCCTCGACATCCCCTTTCAGCATAAGGAAACACCTCCCGGCATGGCTAAGAAAAGGTGATGGCAGAAGCATAAATAAATTACGCCCATTATTGCATCCGGACATCGCATGGACCACAACGAAGGCTTCCCGATGATGCCTAGGGTCCCACAAAACTCCCTTAAAACCCTGAGTCAGCGTCTGCTACCAATAATAGAAACGACTGCTATCAGGTTGGGGAAGCTGGTCTTGCGTGCAAAAGTACTTCCTATAAGCACCGCTCATAACATAGCCAGCAGTCGCTAAACTGCCTACACTCCTTCGTGATCTCACTTTTTCTCCTCCCTTGGACTGGCTCCACGAAAACTTCCCAGCCA